GGCGGCGCCCTCCCGCACCTGCGTCCATCCCGCCCGCCCGCCACGCCCCCGCGCCGCGGCGCTCCCGGCCTCGCCTTTCTCCTCAGGACCAGGCCATGGAGCAGAAAGTCCAGCGGGCTCGCCGGGCGTTCCGGTCCGGCCGGTCGCGACCCCTGCGGTTCCGGCTGCAGCAGCTCGAGGCCCTGCGGAGGATGGTGCAGGAGCGCGAGAAGGACATCCTGGCGGCCATCTCCGCCGACCTGTGCAAGGTTCGCGCGCTGCGGGAGGGGCCGGGACACCGGGACCCCGGCGGCGCAGCCGATGGTGGGGGACCGGAGCGTTGGCTTTTTTTGCTTTTTCTTTTTTGGCCTTCACTCTTTGATTGCGCAAGCACTAGGAGTATGATCTCCAGCAGGAGAGATAAAGCACAAGTTTCTGCCGACTTCCCCGACCCTCTGACCTTGCTTAGAGCCAGGCCCCGTTGAGTGAATTTGCAGACACTTTAGAAGGGCGTGTGTTAACCTGGCCTCTAAAATTCCACTTCTGCGAATGGCCTTTTATATTCTTGTCCATTTTTTATTGCATTTACGGTCCCTTTCTCTTTGTGTATTTCGGATTTCTGTGATTTGTCAGCTTGGCATGTTGTCTCTGGATCTTTTAATTTTGTTTGTAAGCCAGAAGTTGTTTTGTTTTGTTTTGCGTCGGCGTCTCACTCGGTCGCCCAGACTGGAGTGCAGTGGGCGCTCCCGGCCACCGCAGCCTCGACCTGCTGGGCTCCGGCGATCCTTCCGCCTCAGCCTTCCGAGTAACTGGAACTACAGGCGCGCGCTACCACGCCCGGTTGATTTTTTGATTTATTGTAGAAATGAGGTCTCGCTGCCCAGGCGGGTCTCGAACCCGCGGGCTCAGGCAATCCACGCACCTCAGCCTCCCAAAGGCGCGGGATTACAGGCTGAGCCACCGAGCCCGGCTTGTTTTGTTTTTAAAGGGTATTTTCCTTCGTGACTGTTATTAGGTCAGTGCTCTCAAACTTTAGCGCACTGGCAATCACCTGGGGATCTTGTTAAAATGCAAATTATGGTTTAGTAAATCTGGGGTGGGTTCTGAGATTCCAAGTTTCTAACAAGGTCCCAGGTGATACCATGCTCTTTTGGAAGAATGCGTTAAGTAGCAAGGTTTTAAGTTCGTGTTTAGGATATAGGCATTTTTCTGTATGCTTTATAATAATATAACTATCATGTTTTTACTTTTTATCTGCATTCCAGGCTTAGCAGGGTTTGCTCTGGGTTTGTGATTCTCTCTTCTCCACATCCCTTCAAAGATTATTTCAAGGAGTAGTAGTGGTAACTATATAACATTTTTAGTTTTTGAGTTGGAGTCTCACTCTGTTGTCCAGACTGGAGTGCAGTGGCACACTCACAGACATCGCAGCCTGTAACTGCTAGGCTCAGGCGATCTTTCAGCCTCAGCCTTCCAAGTAGCTGGAATTACAGGCATGTACCACCACACCCGGCTAATTTTTTTGATTTATTATAGAGACAAGTTCTCACCAAGTTGCCTGGCCCAACTATAACATTTTTTAAAGAATACTTTTGTTGGAGAGGTACTATGATATTAAATTAACAAGATGGAGTAATGAAGATTCCAAAAAGTCTGTGAATCATTCATCCTACAAGAGTCAAATGTTTGTGTTTACATATATACTCAAGAAATACAGTTGTGAGCCAGGTGTGGTGTCTCACACCTGTAATCCCAGCACTTTGGGAGGCAGAGATAAGATGATTGCCTGAGCCCATGGGTGCTAGACCTCGTCTCTACAATAAAATCAAAAAATTAGCCGGGTATGGTGGTGCATGCCTGTAGTTCCAGCTACCTGGAAGGCTAAGATGGAAGGATTGCCTGATCCCAGCAGGTTGAGGCTGTGGTGGCCCTGAGCGTGCCACTGCACTCCAGTCTGGGCAACAGAGTGAGACTCTAACCCAAAAAAAAAAAAAAAAAAGAATACAGTTATGTTTTTCTGCCCTTGAGGGTTTTAAACTTGGTTAGGAAACAACATACATAGGTAGAATGTCAGTATAGTTATAAATCAGCGTATTAAAGGTGAAATATTAAGATACAGGTTAAAAGCATAATTGCTGGGGTATTATAAAGCATGATCAGGGCAGGCCATTATTAATCAGGGAAGTCTTCCTGAAAGAGGTGACATTTAAGTCTGATTTTAAAGACTGTGGATCAGTAGAGAAGAATTTAGAAGCATTCAGTATATTAGAGAAGGAATCAGCAAGTTCTTATTGAGGGTGTGGAGGCTGCAAAAGGAATCTGGATGGCAAACCAGCTTGTCTGATAACACCAGTTGTTGTCACTGCAGGTGTACCTGGACTGAGGTTTTCAACATTCGGAGCCAAGTTAATCATACTCATTGTGCAGGGTTAACTGTGGTTCTCTTATAACAGAGTGAATTCAATGCATTCAGTCAGGAAGTCATTACTGTGCTTGGGGAAATTGATCTTATGCTGGAGAGTCTTCCTGGATGGGTTAGTGCTCAACCAGTTAAGAAGAACCTGCTCACCATGATGGATGAGGCCTATATTCAACCAGAGCCTCTGGGAGTGGTGCTGATCATTGGAGCTTGGAACTACCCCTTCGTTCTCACCATTCAGCCACTGATAGGAGCCATCGCTGCAGGTTTGGTGCTAGCTTATGTCTTTATACCTTTTTATGGGGGCTTATTCTCTCATATTGGTTGTAAAACAAGGATAATAGCTAGTTAAATACATTGATTTTGGTGGTTTGCCTTGGTTTACAGCAGCATTGTATAATATATAAATTTTTAAATGGTCTATTAAGCCAGGCGTGGTGGCTCACACCTATAATCCCAGCACTTTGAGAGGCCAAGGTGGGAGGATTGCTTGAGCTCAGGAGGACATAGCAAGACCTCGTCTCTATAGAAAATCAGCTGAGTATGGTGGCGTACACTTATAGTCCCAGCTACTCAGGAGGCTGAGGCAGGAGGATCACCTGAGCCAAAGAGGTTGTGGCGGTGGTGAGCTGTGATTGTGCAACTACACACCAATTGGGTGACAGAGCAAGACCCTGTCTCAAATAAATAATTAAATGGATAGATGAATAAATAAATAAAATGGCCTACTGAGGAGATATGCGTGACTATTTTTTGAAGCATTTGGGCAATGAACCCGTGAGGGTATAAAGGCATCTGAGTTGACAGGCCCAGGAGTTTTGAGTCAGGCACCCATATTGTAATGTGGTTTTAGTTGTTGGCTCTGGCTTTGGAGGAACCATTTAATTCCTTCTGGCCAATTTGTTCATTCAAATAAAGACTGTGGGAATAATACTAGCTTCAGTGCTTAGCAAATGCCAAGAGATTAATTTTCACCTTTGCAGGATCCAGACTGACGGCTCTGTATGGACATGGCTTGTTTGCCCAGTAATTCCAAGGCAGAGAGGAAGATCTGAGGGCAGAAGTGGGAGAAAAGTGTTAGAAAGCTGGAGGAGTGGGAAAGGCTGATGGAGCGAGCCTACCTGTTGTCAGTGACCTGAAGATAATGACAACTAAGGAGTTAGCATTTGAAGAGAAAGTGAGATGAGTTCTTACACTTATGGAGAAGAGCAGAATTAAGAGCTACAGAGATAATTGGAGTACTTAGCCTCTACTTTTCCCATGAACACTTATTTTGGTAGCTATTAATCAAGTATTAGATGACAGTGTTCTGCGTTTTACTTTGTTTAGGAAATGCTGTGATTATCAAGCCTTCTGAACTAAGTGAAAATACAGCCACAATCTTGGCTAAGCTCCTCCCTCAGTATTTAGATCAGGTAAGAATGTCTTGACCCCTCTTGAACATATTTATTGTGAAAACACACATTTGAATTTTCTGCTAGTGTTTGTCATTGCTGCCTGGAGATGGCCAGTTGCAGTTTCCTTAAGCTTCCAACAGTTGACTTAGTAAAAGAAGTTAAGTTCCAAAATACACTGTGGAATAACACAGCTATTGTGGTCACAAAATATATTTAGGTCCATGACTTCATAGGCACATACTACTTATTTACAGATCTTCTCTTGACATCGTGGATTAATCCTTGCTTGAGCTAACATATCCTTTTAGGTATATTCATTTAGTGAATTATTTAATGAGGGACTGATACTGTGCTGGGTACTAGCATATTTTTATTACTGACAGTATATTTTGTCATAACAGTATAGTTTTGTATGATTATATATAAGAACACTTCTGCTTCTAAAAAGGGCATGTTTGTGGCATAAAACTATAAGAAGGAAAGTGGCTTTCTGAACCAGAGGGTGAATCCTCACTCTGCATTAAAGTGCTGACATATTAAGAATATAAAAAAACTGAATAAAGAAAATGATCTCCTCAGCTGTGGGATAGTTTGTCTCTCTGTCTGAATCAGAAGTTTTCATGCCTTCCTAGGGAAGAAGTTTATGATGCCACCGTGAAACTGCAACTGCTGAGTTCTACCGTGAAACTGCAGCTGCAAGGAGGCATCTTCATTTAGCTTTTATCAAAAGACAACTTAAAATATCTTCCCTGTATCATACACATTAATTTGTGATGGCCTTAAGGCCAACTCTGGATCCTGGAATAATGGCTGTTCTCTTTGTTGTCTATCACTGTTATGGCAGCCCACAGTTTTGTTCTAATAGTTTTGTTCTAATAACTGATTATCCAGTCCAGAAGGATGAAATGGAAGATAGTGAGCATGAATTGAGTAGGACTTAGAACTAGAAGATGGAGGTTGAAGGTTCTTCATTGCTCCTCACCAGGGTTAAATTCTTCAATAGCTGACTGTCCAGATGGGGTTTATCATAATGCCTTATTGAAGTTAGCTTGTTGGGAAATCAATAACATATACCACGTAGATTAAACCACAGAAAAGTTAACACATGAGACATTTTTGGAGAAGCTAAACTATGAAGTGAATAGAAATTAATTTGCCTTTTAAAGCAGGTGATCAAATGGAAACATGAGGTCCACAAGCTAGTTTTTACTTCATATTCATACCTCAGAAACTTTTTAATATCTCTCTGTCTTCTTCTCTCTCTATGTCTTTTTATCATCTGTTCTGTCATCAATTTTCATGCTGTTATCGTCCAAGGTATTCTCTCTTTTAGAATAGCTGTTAATAATAGCACAGTGTATATGAGGAGTCAGTCTACAGAGGCTATGTGAATTCTTCCAGTAATAGATGAAGAAACTAAAGCTCAGAGATGTTCAGTTTCTTGCCTAAGGTCACATAAGCTTGTGAGTAGCAGAGCCCAGATTCAATCCAGATATACTTCAAAAGCAAGTGCTCTCAGCTAGTGTGCTATGTATACCATTCATTCAGCATACTGTGGGCTAGCTAAACCCTGCTCTGTGTTATGTAGGGAAAGAACATTCAGATTTAAACACGCAGCTGGGACCTGTCCAGTGGTCATTGACAGCAGCCACTGCTTCACCAGAATTCTCAGCTTCCACATACACATACCCATCTCCTGCATTTCTCTGGTCAAATCCAACCATTTGCTGTCTTCTGTGCCTTCATTCCTGAACTCTTGTAGAAAATGTTGGACTCTCCAGGTTGGTTCCACATAGATTAATGGGTCCCAGATGCCAGTGGACTCTGTGTTCTCCACTTGTCCTTGATCAAGCTCCCTCTCGCATCCCTCACAGGGACTAGTCTCGATATTCTCCTGGTTTTACTGAATGTTACATGTTATATTGAAGAAATTGCTGATGTTAGATGATAGGATTAATTTGATGCTGCAAGAGTTTATGTTTTTCTTTTTTTGAGGACCTCTATATTGTTATTAATGGTGGTGTTGCGGAAACCACAGAGCTTCTGAAGCAGCGATTTGACCACATTCTCTATACGGGAAACACTGCAGTTGGAAAAATCGTCATGGAAGCTGCTGCCAAGCATCTGACCCCTGTGACTCTTGAACTAGGTGGGAAAAGCCCATGTTATATTGATAAAGATTGTGACCTGGACACTGTTTGCAGGTGAGACTGACTTTCTGATTTTCTGAAGTTTTCCCAGCACAATGGAGGTTTTTCCTAATAGGTTGGTGTTTCCCTAATAGATTGAATCCCATACCCTATGGCGCCAAGGTACATTAACCAAAGGTTAAGCTTTGGTGGTCAATGTTCTCAAAAGTAACAGAAGTCTTTCACAAACTGCCTCTTGGTACCACTGTCAGAAATGATGAGCCATAAGTCCTGACCATTGTCCTTAGGAATTTTGGTCATTTTGTTCTTGAGATTACAATTAGATCTGGCAAGAAATTCTAATGTTCTGCTGGCCAGTTGATGCATGAAGTAGAAAATCCAAAGTATTATGTGTGCCTAATAAAAATCTTTTTTTTTTTTTTTGAGTTGGAGTCTCACTCCGTCGCCCAGACTGGAGTGCAGTGGCTGCTCCCGGCCACCGCAGCCTCAACCTGCTGGGCTCTGGCGATCCTTCCGCCTCAGCCTTCCAGGTAGCTGGAAATACAGGCGTGCACTACCACGCACAGCTAATTTTTTGATTTATTGTAGAGATGAGGTCTCACCAAGTTGCCCAGGTAGGTCTCGAACCTGCGGGTTCAGGCAATCCACTCACCTCAGCCTCCCAAAGCGGGGGATTACAGGCTGAGCCACCGAGCCCGGCTATAAAAATCTTTAAATTCTGATTTGAAAGGATTTTACGTTGATCTCTTTACTGAGATCCTTTGTTGACAAAACTGGTATTACTTATCTTTTAACTTTAAATAACATCTTGCATTTGGAAATTAGAGAATGAAGCGTTTCAGGTTCTCTATGCTAAATCAGGTTTAGCTATTAGGAAGTGCCAGAACACAGAATTGGCTCTCTGCTCTGGGTGGTTTTCTCTTCCCTTGAGATGGATGCAAAGAAGGAGATGGGAGGTTAGGTCAGGGTTCCAGGTTGGCTTTGTAAATAGAAATCTAGTTGCCAGAGCAAGAGATCCTCAGTTGGTGAATGTTCAGGTTGTAGGCTTCTTCCTGTATGTGGGAAAGGTTTCTAGACCTTGAAGGCTGACTGTCATCCTGTTTATACCCGAATATCTTGCCAGCAAGATCTAAAGCCACAACCAGGAGAAATGGAGTCTGTAATGAACTCTCATCATCCAGGATGTCCTCTTGGCTGGAGTAGGAGAGGGAAAGGGGTGTTTAGAAGCTTTCTCCTCTTTTCCTGCAATAGGCAATGGCTTCACTGCTGTTTAAGTATTGTTTCCCATGAGTTGACTTCATAACTTTCTGCTACTTAGAATATTCTGCCTCAGATGGAAAATGCATTCTGAGTTCTAACCAACTCATTTAGAAATGAATTTTTAGCTTTTTATAAGTAAGAATGTGACTATTTTAGTTGCAAAACAATTAAACAACACAAAAGTATGTAACAAATGTGTATTCGACTGAATTATATAGCTATTTGGGTTTTTCCCCCCTTCAGACGCATAACCTGGGGAAAGTTCATGAATTGTGGTCAAACCTGCATTGCTCCTGACTATATTCTCTGTGAACCATCCCTCCAGCATCAAATTGTGCAGAAGATTAAGGAAACGCTCCAGGTTTGTGTTCAACATATCTGATTCCGTTGATTATAGTGAAGATAAGGAATCAAATTACCAACTTGCAAGCAGTATCCCTGTTTTCTCCTCCTCTCAGGAAAATTTCAGTAACATATATGACTGAATTAACTTTTTGGCTGATTGAAAATTCTCTGTGCACCCTTTATAGAATGTCTGCTGGGAGCGAGTTTAGATTGGTATTATACCTACCTAAACCATCCAGTTGCTTTGTTGGTGATCAGTTGTGACATATACTTTGAAAACTTTTAAATAAATGTGGTCTGTGGTTTTGAGGAAATGTTGACAATCCCTTGAAGTATAATTGGAGAGCCTTTGGCACATTGGCCATTGCTGATTGGGTTGTTGGTTATAGTGTGCGTAGAGGGCCTTGGGTGGCCAGTAGTTTGGAGGAGTGAGTAAATTAAATAGCTACTTATAGTTTACCCATTATTTTGTTATCAATCTTTCAGGGTGTTTAGAGATCTGCAGCGAGGGAACTGAGGACGGCTGCTTGATTCCTAAGCTAAGGCTTGAAGGAAATGTAGGATTTAGGTTGGTAGAGAGGAATGGGATGATAAGTATGACTGAGTTAAGCAGTAGGAGGAGGGTCACTAAGCCCCTGTGTGCATGACTTTATTGGAACAATCATTGTTTTGCTAAATAGATGTTAATTGAGCACTAAAAGGAAGGCTTAATACCAAAGAATATGATCAGAAAATGAAAATTGTACCAAGAAGTTTAGGTGGATAGTTTATGATGTGTTCCAGACAAAGTAACTAGGGACGAGGTGCTAGGGTTCTGATAGGGGTATTAGACAATAGTGAAAGGACTGGGCCGGGTGTGGTGGCTCAGCCTGTAATCCCAGCACTTTGGGAGACTAAGACGAGAGGACTGCCTGAGCCCAGGGGATCAAGACCAGCCTGGGCAACTTAGTGAGACCTTGTCTCTGCAATAAATACATAAATAGCTGGGCATGGTGGCGTGTACCTGTGGTTCCAGCTACTTGGAAGGCTGAAGTAGAAGGATCACCTGAACCCAGCAGGTTGTGAGCATGCCACTGCACTCAAGCCTGGGCAACAGAGTGAGACTCTTAAAAAAAAAATTACTTGTAGGCTGGGTGTAGCGGTGGCATGTGTCTGTAGTTCCAGCTACTTGGAAGGCTGAGGCAGAAGGTACCTAAGCCCAGCAGGTCGAGTCTGCAGTGGCTATGAGCGTACCACTGCACTCCAGCCTGGGCAGCAAGAGTGAGACTCCAACTCAAAAAAACAACAAAAAAAGAAAGGGCTGAAGATGGCTCCAGATGACGAGAACATGAAGGGAGAGTTTGCCAGATTCAGGGAATGTGCATGGAAGAGAGAGTGGTTAAGAATACTTAACAGTGGCTTGTGCCTGTAATCCTAACACTTTAGGAGGTCGAGGCGAGAGGAATGCCTGAGCCTAGGGGTTCAAGACCAGCCTGGGCAACATGGCGAGACCTTGTCTCCACAATAAATTAAAAAAAAAATAGCTGGGCATGGTGTCATGCACCTGTAGTTCCAGCTACTTGGAAGGCTGAGGCCAGTGGGTTGAGGCTGCAGTGGTCGTAAGCATGCCACTGCACTCAAGCCCGAGTGACAGAGTGAGACTCTTAAAAAAAAAATACTTGTAGGCCGGGCACACAGTGGCTTACACCTGTAATCTCAGCACTTTGGGAGGCTGAGGCGGGAGGATCACTTGAGCCCAGGAGTTCGAGACCAGCCTGAGCAACATGTATTGTGAGGCCTCATCTCTACCAAAAAAATTACCAGGTATGGTGGTGTATGTCTGTAGTCCCAGCTACTCAGAAAGCTCAGGCTGGAGGATTTCCTGAGCCCAGGATGCAGTGAGTCGTGATCATGCCACTGCACTCCAGCCTGGGCAACACAGCAAGACCTCATCTCAAAAAAAAATAAAAATAAAAATAGTTGTGAGATTGAAAGTACTCAGGAAGTGGAGAAGTGCTTAGTTGAGTATGATGGTGAATAAGGGGTCCCTTTACCTTGCTTTGAGGTGTTTATCCTCTAACAGAGTTCTTGTTTTTTTTTTTTTTGAATTGGAATCTCACTCTGTCGCCCAGACTGGAGTGCAGTGGCCACTCCCAACCACCGCAGCCTCAACCTGCTGGGCTCCGGCGATCCTTCTGCCTCAAGCCTTCCAAGTAGCTGGTAGGCGTGCACTACCATGCCTGGCTAATTTTTTGATTTATTGTAGAGATGAGGTCTCGCCTGCCCAGGTGGTTCTTGAACCCGTGGGCTCAGGCAGTCCACTCACCTCAGCCTCCCAAGGCACGGACCTTTACAGGCTGAGCCACCGAGCCCGGCTAACAGAGTTCTTAACTGAGCTACATGTTAGAGTCCCTAGGGAGCCACTTAAAAATAAGTTTCCAGTCCTTACCCTCCAAAGATTCTGATTCATTTGGTCTGAGGCCCCCAGATGATTCTATGATGCAGTCGGCATTGAAAACCGCTTTTGGTGGCTCTGGAGTTGGGGCCCAGGATACGCATTTCAGCAAGTTCCCAGGTGATACCTACCACCTAGACTTGAGAATCATTCTTGGTGAAGGTTGGGTGAACACTGTACATGTGGATTTGAGACTAAATTGAGAGCTCTCACAAGGCTTTGAAGTGATGTAGCAATTCCATAATTTTGTGTTTGTTTTACATTATAAATATTGATTGTGTAATTGTTGAAGTTCTTTTACCTTAGTAATTTACCAAAGTTGTATTTTGATCCTTTGAGTGGTTTCATCACTGACTGGTGACAATTCTAGTTCGGAGAAAATTAAAAACAACAAAATAGAGCGAAGGTCAACAAATTTTTTCTCTAAAGCACTGATCAGGGGCATCCAACCTTTTGGCTTCTCTGGGCTGTACTGAGTAACCCTTTGGCTTCCCTGGGCCACATTGAATAAAGAGAAATTGTCTTGGGCCCCACATAAATTATGTAATATAACTAGTGTATATACATAGTAAAACTTCTTTTAAAATATTTTTTATTATAAAATTTAGAAAAATGAGAACAATAATAAACTAGTGGGAAATTTTACCTTGTTTTTGTAAAACCATCAATGTCTGGTTCAGTGGAAGTGGTCACAATTCTTAGTGAATTCTCAAGAGTTGAGAATTCTCTCAGTGAATGCTCATCAAAAATGTTTGTTCTAATTTTGCTCTTCACGTGCTTCATAATTGAAAACAACTGCTCAAAAATGTATGTGCTATCAAAAAGTGATGTCATGATTAAGGCGTGATTGTGAACTTCAAGAGTGGAGCTACGCATGGGTTCACAAAGAAAATAAACACTAAAAAACACATGATGTTAAAAGATTTTATGGGGCCGCATTATTAACTGTCCTGGGCTGCATGCAGCCTCTGCATGTCATAGATTGGACATGCCTGGACTAGATAGTAAATATTTTAGGCTTTGCAGACCATAGGTTTTCTGCTGCAACTACCCAACTTAACTGTAGTAGGAGAAGGGCAGCCACAACAAATGTGTGAATGAATGGGCAACCCTGATATAGAGAAAGACTTCTTTCCCCAACCTACTGCCACAGTCACCCCCAGGAGGGGGAGGACTCATGGGTAGACTCCAGAGAGCTATGGAGAATGATAGATGTGTGATAGCTATGGAGAGGCCCCTAGAGCTATGGAGAATGATAGATGTGTGTGTGTATGACACTTGTGTTTTATTTTCCAGTCCTTGGCCTGCCAAAAAGCTCAAACTTACTGCTGTTTTACTACTGTTAACTCTTTGCACTCAGACATCTCGTAGATCACCTCCCAGCAACTTGACCGCACTTTTTTACGAAATAGTGAAAAATGAGTCACTTCATATTAAATAGTATAGCTTTGGACCCAATTATTTTCTTTTAATGATATTTGGCTTATAATAGAATTTTGGACATTGAGTAACTAATGACAAAAAGATCAGTTTTATGTCTTATATTTTTCTAATATGTGGTAACGTGTGAAACAGTCACCGACATGCACTGCAGGTTCATTGACACATGTTGTGCAATAGTAATTTGTTTGACGTCTTCCACCTGGTGTTTTTCTATTTGTGCAGACAATGCAGTTTTGTTTTCTCGCTCCCACATGAATATGTAATTTATTGTCCAGTCTGTGCACCACTGAACAAGCACACTTCACACATTTTTTTCTATAATGACAGCTGATTTTTAAAAATGTATCTCTCTATATATATTCCATTTCTTTTTTTTGTGCAATTTGAATGAAAAACTTCAAGGAAATATACATTTTTAAAAAACTTGTGCTGGCATTAGTTTGTCCTATATAATTACCAGCAATCTCTTTATTCCCTGAGAGGGGACATCAGAGTGGTTTGCTAGATTTATGATGTGCCCTCAGAGGGGACATCCGAATGCAAAGGGTTAAATTGTTTTGGGGGTGGGGTGTTGGATTCTGTGAGGCTATAGAATCAGATTGATGTTTTTGGCATGAGTGGATTTTGTGCTTATTAAAGAAATTGAAATATAGGTCTTTGTGACACTTAAATACTACTGTTGTTTTAAATAGGAATTTTATGGAGAAAATATAAAAGAGTCTCCCGATTATGAAAGGATCATCAATCTTCGTCATTTTAAGAGGCTACTAGGTTTGCTTGAAGGACAAAAGATCGCGTATGGTGGGGAGACCGATGAGGCCACGCGTTACATAGGTAATGGCGATTCACCTTTTCCTGTGGGAAGGTGGCAGTTTTTACTGACACTCGTTATTGACACTAAAGTATTAAATATTGGTGTTTAATTATTAAAATATTAAATGCTGCTTTCTGGTATACTGCTTTTATAAACTGTCCAAAAATGTATATATGTATACACGTTTAATAATACCACCAGTGTTACAGTAATTTTTTACACATTTATTACCAAATTTTTTTTTTCTTCCTAACAACCCTGAAAAGCAGAGTAGAACTTTATGAAATTATTTCCAGTTTATAGATGGGAAAACAGCACAAAGAAGGAAATAACTTCTCCATGTTCTACAACTAGCCAGGGACAGTACTAGAATACTGTCAGAAATAATGGTTTGATCTATTGTGCTTGACTTTATTATTTGCTTACTTTCTTTGTGTTTTTAATTCTTTTTTTTGAATGTATATTGCTTTGAATGTTAAACACACTCTTTTAAAATAATATATAAGATGACAGAAAAATCACAAACACATTCAGATGGCACAGAAGCTGCCCCATATAGCCTTACTTATCCCCTTTTATCAGATAAGATGCTGCAGCTCACCAAAAAAAAAAAAGCCTGTAAAAAAAAAACAAAACAAAATTTAAATGATAAGTAGAAATTTATTATCTGATAATGAGCAGTTCCCAGGTTCTTCTGAGCTGGATAATTCAGTGACTCAGTAATGCCATTAAACAAAACTGATTCTTTGCTCTAGGACTTTCTTTGTGGTGGCCCAGATTGAATTGGGGAATATGTCTATAGAAAAAGAGAAGAAAAAGAGAAGAAAAAACCCCTCCGATTCTCTCATATCTCTGTTCTCCCATCCTCAGCATATCAACATTGCCCATTTCTAGGCTAATCTATGGCAAGAGGAAGGGGCTATTATGATTAGCATATAGACTGATTAGGACTTCCCCCTGACCTGAGCATGGTTATGCAGAGGAAGGTAGATGTCCAAACCAAATTGGTTCTGTAGCCTATTTGGATTTGGGGTAACAGCTTATATACCCCAGGAGCTGCAAAGAGCTGTCCTCAGCCAAGTTGCCAAGAAAACCTAGGGGTAAAGAAAAAGAACCAGCTTGTAATTGTCATTGTCTTCACTTTTGATTGACAATCCAGTTGAGTCCTGCTAGTTGGTGACTTACATTGGCAGGAATGCAGGATATTCTGTATGGCCTCTTCAGCATCCATTTTGCCCTCCTTTCTTGCATACTTTCCCCATCGTAGATGGAACACTGAACTAAGGGCTAGGGAATCTTGACCATTTAAGTTTTCTTAATCTGTCTGACAGAGTTATAATAACTGTCAGTGAGATAATATGCATGAAAGCACTTGGAATAGGATGAAATAGTATTGATTTGTTTCACAGAGGATTTGTTTTTGCTCCCAGAAAGAACTTTTCATGGAAAGATGTAAATAGAACCTTTGGTTGAATATGCAAATTGCTGTGAACAGGATTAAATGTGACTAAGATATATTAAGAGTACATCTTTCCCCTGGTTTGCACAAGGATCCCTTGATTCATATGCTTTGGACATTATTAATATTTGCGTGGTTCATCCACATACTCAGAACTTTTCAATAGTTATGACTTGGATGGGAGAGAGAAAGGGATGGATAAGTTACCCATTGCAAGAAATATAATTAGTTTTTGTCCCTGCTTCAGCATTTTCATTTTGTTTTTCTTTTCAGCCCCAACAATACTTACAGATGTTGATCCTGAAACCAAGATAATGCAAGAAGAAATTTTTGGACCAGTTCTTCCAATAGTCCCTGTGAAAAATGTAGATGAAGCCATAAATTTCATAAATGAACGTGAAAAACCCCTGGCTCTCTATGTATTTTCTCATAACAATAAGGTAAGCTTTACAGAGAATAGCTCAGTCTCATAAATGACTATCACAAGTCGTGTTCCTTTGCTGAAAAACAATGATGGTTTATTTTATATCATAGCAGAGTTCACCAAATGAAGTTATGTTCCTTGATTGCTGTTTCGGGTAACAAGGCCCTGGGGTTATCACTGCTTCCATCCCTCTGCTCCCTGGGGTTAGATCTGAGTCTGCAGGGGTGAATGTCACAGGGTTTTTGATTCACAAACACCTCCTGTGTAATTGGAAAACTTACATATGCCAGCATTAGATACTTTTCTGATATTAATCCACAGGACTTTGCTGTGTAAGAGCCTGCCCCATGACTGAAATGGCGTTCACAGTCACTCAGATGAGACTGTGTGTGACAAAGACTTCTGGCACTGTTGTGTAAATCGTGATAATCATGTATTTCAGTTTCTCACATTACATTACCTTATTGTTAGAGTGGTGGAACCACGTAACCCAGTTGAGCAGCCCTGCCACCTTCTGCATGGCTCACTCATTTGCGTTGCAAGGTGACCAGGGCCTCAAGGTAGGCAAATAGATTCAGAAGCCTTCTGAAGAAACAGGAAAACTAGAAGGGGGCTTATGGGACTATTTAAGAACTGAGGAGTTCATAAGCCGATGTTTTCTGGTGAGCTTCTGATGGTAACTTACAGGTAGTCATGTGACAGCTTCTGGTGTGACAGCTTGTGATGCTATTGAGATACAGATAGCTACAGGTCTTTGAAGTGAGACCAAACGTGTGGGGCTCAGCAAAGACGATTGTTAACAAAACAATGGTCTGACATTTGAAATGGCAATAGATATTGTGGTGGGTGGGTAGCCTGCTGGCCAGGATACTGCTCCATGTGGGGTGTTTCCCAGCAGTGAGTTCAGTGAGATCACTACAGTCCAGACTTGATGTTCACTGTGAAGAACTAGCAAGGGCTTGTTGGTACCCAGGTGATATGATATTTACTAGTCAGGTGTCCTTGTGTCTTTTCAGGGCTTAGGCCAATCAACCATTTATTTCTTAAAAAATAGGATGCTAAGTCTAAAATCTTAAATCCTTTTGCATTTCATAAAGACTAAATGATACTTATTAATTGTATGCTTTAGTTTAGAGGAGAGAGTGAGAAATAATTTTTAAAGACCAGAATATAGTCTGAACTATCCCTTATCAGAAGCTCTCTGCTGTTTTTGGGGGGGAGTACAACTCTAGGTGGTAACTGAGCAAACGGGCCCAAAGGATCAGGACTGCCTCCCTCAATGCAGTAGATATGAGTCTCTGAGAAGTTAATCAGTCCCATTTGCTAAATTAACTGCAGTTTAGATTGCCCAGCACGGTGTCCCCAAACTCGAGAACTTTTGCTGACACAAGGCCAGAATATGTGTTCCTGGAGCATGCAGCCCTTAGCATGCAGCCCTCCGAGTAAGGGACCACAAATGCTCCCTAAGGCACTATGTCACTGATCTGGATGCCTTTGGTCTTTTCTCAGCTCATCAAACAGGTGATTGGCGAGACGTCCAGCGGTGGTGTCACAGGCAACGATGTCATCATGCACTTCACCCTCAACTCTTTCCCATTTGGAGGAGTGGGTGAGTAGTATATACTGTTCATAGTAGATATCTCAAAAGCACCACAATTCCACAAGTCACTTGTTGTAGGCTGTTGAAATGACTGACTGCTACTTTTTCTGATTGTCCTCTTTTGAGAAAGGCCTTTCCTGGCCACCCAGTTGACAGTAGTTTTCTAGCTTCCCTGCCTGCCCTCCAGAGTGGGGTGAATCTCTGTCCTGTCACCCCTTTCTGTCCTCAGTAGCACTGACCACAGCTTTAATTACTTTGTTCACATCATTGATTTACTTGTTTTTTGTCTTTCTGCCAGATTTTGGAGATTTGGGAGCCAAGAGTCGGGTCTCAAATTAATAAGCTCTCTCTCTTTTTAAAAAAATGAAGTAGTAAATGAAAGGTTCAGAATGCTGGGGAGCAGACAGCAGTCAGAGGGTTTTCTAATGTCCCTTTGTTTTCTACTCAAGGTAACATTAAGTGCTAATTAGTTCTTACCTGCATTGGTTCCCCAGCCCTCTATGGGGAGGACCACCCTCTCCTTGAATTCTTTGGTGGTTTAAATACAGTGAGACTCCCCGTGTTCTAGAGAGGATGGGCAGGAAGAAATTTATTTTCAGCAAAGCTCTGTGGACACAGCCTTGTCCTTGCCATTTCATTCGGAATGTGACCTGCCTCTCTCTTCCACACATAAGATGATTGAGTCAACTTTTCATTTCTCCTTTGGGACCTAGGTAGTAGGGTTCTCCATTCTCTAATAGAGATATTACAAAATAACCAATGTGTAAAAATTCTCATAATAAAAAAGCAAACTATAAAAACAACTGTTTTAAAGCCCCTACTTTATTCTCTCCCTTTGTAATAACATAAATAAATTGTTCCATGGACTGGAGTGGCTCAGTCTGGTAGGACTTTGTTCCTGTTTTAGGAAACTGTGTTCTGTGGCTAAGGAACCCTGGCCTGCAGCCACAGGTCCCTGTCTAGGCAGTAAATATAGTGTTAGCACAGTGCCTGGCATATACGACAGGCAAGGAAAGACCAAATTGGTGGGTACTACCTGATCCAGATTGGAGATGGTGGTGGCCTGAACAGGCAGGCAACAGGGGAGAGAACAGAAAAGGAGGAGATATTTTGGGGGTCAAGCAAAAGGACTTGCTGATGCAGTGAATATGGCGGGGGAGGGTGAATGAAAGAGGATGACTCCTAGGCTTGTGGCTGGAGTAACTATAGATTTACAACCCAAGTGCTGAAAAGATTAGATTAGACTCTGTTGTAGCTCGCCCCATAGGATCTTGGCTCCCACTATACTATTGCAACAAACGACTCTCTAATTGTTTCATATGATGCCACCAGTGCTCCCTAATTGCAAATCTAAGGGACTTGGGTTCAGTACCTGTCCTTCTTGACTAGGTAGCATTTGGCATCATTGACCATACCCTCTTCTTTAAAACAAAACAACCTGTTTTCCCCCAAATGCAAAAGAAACACCAACTTTTTCTTTTCCTTTTTTTTTGAGTCAGAGTCTCACTCTGTCACCCAGGCTGGAGTGCAGTGGCACAGGCATGGCCACCACAGGCTCAACCTGTTGGGCTCAGGCGATCCTTCCACCTCAGCCTTCCAAGTAGCTGGAACCCACAGGCATGTGCCATCATGCTTGGCTGATTTTTTGATTTATTGTAGAGACAAGGTCTCGCCATGTTGCTCATGCTGGTCTCGAACCCTTGAACTCAGGTAATCCTCTCACCTCCACCTCCCAAAGTGCTAGGATTACAGAGTAGTTGACTCTTTAGGATACAATATGTTTCAGTGTCTGAAAGTTCCTCATTATTAGGTTTTTCAGTTTTTTTGGGGGGGGGGGTTGGCCTAGTCTTATCTAATTTTTTCAAATGAGCTTTGGAATTACTATCTCCTACTCAAACCAAAAAAACAAAGATTCTTCTGAAATCCCCTGGAATTTTTATTAAAATTGCTCGGAACTTAAATTATTTGGGGAAGAATTTATATCTTTAAAATATGGAGTCTTAGCCGGGCTTGGTGGCTCAGCCTGTAATCCTGCACTTTGGGAGGCTGAGGTGAGTGGATTGCCTGAGCCGGGGGGTCAAGACCTGCCTGGGCAACTTGGCGAGACCTCATCTCTACAATAAATCCAAAAAATTAGCCGGGCGTGGTAGCGCGCCTGTAGTTCCAGCTACTTGGAAGACTGAGGCGG